CCTCCCCCGGGCGACTAAGCAAATTATCTATGTGTGTGAAAAAAAATTGCCGGGGGGGGGGGGTAAAACAGGAGACTTTTAATTGCTGCTTACCTTTAAATGTAGTGAACAGGTTACAGTGAATAACACATGCACAACTCAAGTTCAAACGTTCTCAAACATTAATATATAACCATACACCTGCCAAGGTCCACAACTAATATCCAAAGTACAGACAGAAATACTGCGAATCAACGCCAATTCACTTTAATGCATGCACACATATGAGCGCGTACCTAGATGTTTAACCACATTTGATCCTCTAAGTTGAGGTCAATAAACTTATGTGCTGAAAATGACCTATTATATCAAAGTGTACTCCACCACGCAATTTATATATTGTATACAACCACGGTTACTAGAAGAACTGAGAACTAGTAACCGTGGCACAACATTTTTCTTTTGCAGTATTGTGGTTCTAAGCTTTATTAAGCGAAGACTTATTAACAATCGAAGTTGCTGCCAGGTAACCAATAGCATCGTCAAAAGGTATTATGTTTGGCCGAAATCAGAGTATTCATTTTTATCGACCAGTTTCACAGGCCGACGTGCAGAAATATACTCTTAGTACATTCTCTCCACTTTTCCCATTTTGCGAATAGGGTTGTACCAAAGCGAAGCTCAAAACCTATGCGGATCCAAAACGAAACCACGGCTAAAACCTATTGCACCAGAAAACCAGGATTGATCAGTGTAGAAAACCGTCCCGCAAAGGCACATTTACAGCTCCTTTCGTTTGGCGTTGGCATGGGCATATGAGTTCATGACAAATCACAAAACAAGAGTTGGCCCTTGCCGCCATATTCGAAACTGTATTAAGTCGAATTCAACAAAGAAGAGCGCCCCTGCGTTCACTAGTCGCATATACAAATATTGGTTTACGAATATAAAACAAAGGGCTTTACAAAGACAAATATTTCTATCACAAATAACAGCCTCTATGCTCACTTATCACATACTTTACAAATACAAATGTATTATTTATGAATACAAATGCAAATGTCACAAAAACATTACGAATACAAATGGAGGTTTTATGAGTATGAATATGTCATTTATAAATATGAATGTAAATTCTTGCATATAACAATTTTTAATTAATACTTCAACACTCCATATCGACTCATATACTAAACCACATATTACTAATGACCTAGAATTCCTTTTTGCATTTCCAACTACTCACTGTGGAACCATACTCATCATTTCGATGTGTTCGTTTCGTCACAGACCTTAAAAACAGGAACACGCAACTCATCTGAGACAACAGAAATTCTAACTTTCTGTGCCCAATGCGAGATATACTATTCAGTACAGTTAATCCTGTCAATGCACATAATTTGTAGTTCTACATATTTAACAGTTTTTGTTTTGCTAATATTCACATTTGTCACAGTATAAATTGATGAGATTATATCGCTTTTAAATGTGAAGACGACACAAAGTTCAACGTGTCATTGTTTACTTTTAGGCAGTTTTGTTTCCTTGTAGAAAACTTTCGCTTTTATGTTCCTTTTTTGTTTTCATAGTTGAATAAAACTGTCACCTTCAAAATTGTTAGTTTCATTCGTATCAGTAGAATGGATTGGGCTATTCAGTTTTTGTCAAATGTAATTATTCTGGTTACATCAAAACTACATAGTTGACTCAATTTTGTAGCTATACCCTGGAATCCACATTTAACTAGTAACAGGACGAGATGTAGCATTGGTGTTGACATAGCTTTGTTGTCAGTCCATATATACTAGAAATATCACGATAAAGAAAGGGTTTACAGATATAAACTCACTGTTTTTGTCAGAGTCGAGGGCGAACCCCTTTCTAATGATTGAGGAAGAAGT